ATCCCTATTTGCATATACTCGCATAATATTTTCAATGGGTGCCTAGATGTCCACTTGAATACAATTGATCAATTCATTTGTGAGGAGATAAGCCAGCCCCTTTCCATAGTAGAGATCCAAGCTAAGACCTTTCCATAGTAGAGATAAGCCAGCCCCTATCCAAAAGTGGTTTCACACTAGTAACAATCTAGAGAGCATAAATTTCACCAGCATTGTGTTGATTCCTAAGTGTAACATCCAGAAGAGGTAAGCCAATTCTGGCTAATTAGTTTAACAAATGTTACCTATAGAATTTACGCAAAATGTCTAGTCAATAGGCTCAAGGAGGTTATGCAAGATTTGGTTGATGAAAACCATGTGTGTTCATAAAGGATGAAATGATTTCAGATAACATTGCTTTCACACATGAGACTTAACCATTTTCTAAAGAATAAAGCAAGGTGAGTGATGTTCAGATAGATATAGCATTGGGAGAAATTAGGGAACATCCCAGATCATGTAAAAACGCAAATCAGTTCCGAGCAAATATCTCTAAGAGAAGGAAAAAAACGTTCGGATCTGGAAACAAACTTACATCTAACAGGTTTTTCTCTTGTAAGCAATGTCCTTGGTATAAAACAATCTAGAATAAGAGAATCCCACCCAAATATGGCCTTTTCTACTTGGAAAATTCTTAGAGGTAATGTTCCAACTGACAACAGTGTGAAGAAATTGGGCATTCCCCTTGTCTCGACTTGTAATCGTTGTGCTCAAAGGTGTTTGGGAACTACTGATCATGTGTTTATCAATAAATAGTACTCTCGCCATTGAGATTTGGGGTGAGTTTACCGCTTTACTGGTCGTACCCACTATTTCAAATTCGACAGGCTTTCCTTTGGTCAAACTCACTCGTCATAGGTGAATGAGATAAATAGTGACCTCTGCCATTATTATTTACTAGGAAATTTGGAAAGAAGGATGTTCCAAAAGAATATTAAAAAATATATGCTTGGCTCAGGGAACTTAAGTGGTCGTCTCCCAGGAAAGACGCGACTTTTTTTCTGATAAAATCTTAGAATAACCTAACCTAAAGTTCTAAGAACACATCTTGCGAGGGGTAATCCAGGTATCTCTAGTGGTGGTGGGATTTCCAGAGGGGATCGAGGTGACTTTCTATTTGCTAAATGTCAGATTTTGCGAGATGCTCAACTTCTGATTTATCTTCAAGGGAAAACAAGTCCACATTGGACTCTTCTTCCTCTTTTTGGCGAGAGATTTCGACTATTACAAACAACCTCCAGGTTTTGTTCAATCATGTTCTCCAAGAAGGGAATTTGGTTGTAGATGCTTTGGCTAATCATGCTTATGATTATCGGTTTGATCATAGATCTTCACTTCCACGTGCTGTACAGAGTAGCTTATTTGGTGATCTATTATTCATTCCTAGACTTCAAGTCAAGCCAAGCCGAATACTTGGTTATTTGAGCTTGGCTCATTGAAATTGTATTAGACTTGAGCTTGAACTCAGCTCGATTCAAAGATCACAAGTTCAAGCTCAACTATAACCCAAGTTTTTTTCTAAAAAATAAAAATTATACATATAAAAATATTTTTTTATTTTATATACAAAAAATTAAGAATTAGAAAATTTATTTATAAAAATGTTTTATTTTACATACAAAAAATGAAAATATTATATATAAAATATTATTATATATAATAAAAATATTTATTATATATATATACATATATATGTGTGTATGTATGTATGTATGTAATAAAAAATTATTTATTTATTATACTAGGCTCACGATCCTTATGAGCCAAGCTTCACTAGGCTTGAGCTCGAATAACTCGTGAGAAATTCGACTTGTGGCCACCCCTATTTATGAGGTTGAGAGGTTCAGTGGAGTCCACTTTGTATTTAGGCTTGGGGCAAGGCAAGCTATGTCCTCCCCTATATTTCTTATTTTACTTGAGTTTCATCAGTAAAACTTCAAGGTGGCCACCCCTATTTATGGGATTTAGAGGTTCAGTGGAGTCCACTTTGTATTTAGGCTTGGGGCAAGGCGGTCTACATCCTCCCCTATATTTCTTATTTTACTTGAGTTTCATCAATAAAAATTTAAATCTTTAAGGTGGCCACCCTTCCACTTGGAGTAAATTTTGGAGGTAAAAAGTGTCTAAGGCTCAATTTAGAAGGAGTACAAATACAAATATGTACGTACTGCGGTACAAATGCATATAAAATAATACAAAATACAAGGATTTACACTTTATATATTTATATTTGTACTCCATCCAAAGTGAGCCTAAATGGAACTCAAAGATGCTCTTTAAACCATAAAGAGGCATTCGGCAGGGGGGTCCACTTTCCCCATATCTCTCTTATTTTTGCAACACAAGTGCTTTCAGCAAACATTCTTAAAGCTGTAAATGAAGGTACGCTTCAAGGTATTGGATTTAAAAGAGGAGCTCCTCCCCTTTCACACCTCTTGTATGCAGATGATTGTATAATTTTCTTCAAAGAAATTCTAGAGCCATTCTTTAACTCCTCGGTGCAGTTGGTTAATTTTAAGAAATCTGAAATCCCCCTAGTTGAAATACCCCACAAAAGTTTAAGCGTATAATCTGCAGAATTCGGGAGACTCTCTTATTAAGGTAGTTGCGGCAGCTTCACCAGTGTATTATTTGACCCACTTTCGAGTTCCTATGGAGCTCTGTAATCAGCTCAACCGGCAATTGGCAAGTTTTGTTGGGGACCAAAAGGATGAGGAAAGAAAATTGCAATGGATTGGGTGGGGAAAAAAAAACTTTGTGGTGCAAAATCCAAAGGGGGCTTGGTTTTGGAGACATGGTTTCCTTTAATTGGGCCCTCCTAGCCAAACTAGCTTGGCCTTTTAAATGGTCAACACACTTTGTGGGTAACGATTTTAAAGAAAATATACTTCCCAAATACTTCAATTCTCGAGGCAAAAAAAAGGGAATCCTTATACATGGGCTTGATCTACTAAGAAAATGACTCATTTGGCGAATTGGAAATGGAGAACCAATTAACATTTGGAAAGATCCATAGATACCAAATGCCTCAAATTTCAAAACCCAATCACCAATCTCATCCTTTGCAACCCTCTGAGGTGAAATATGACTACACTCCAGCTTTTCTCCCCTGCTGAAGTCTCATCCATATCAGCCATTCCACCCAGTGAAGAAAACCATAAGGACAAACTACGATGAGGGGGAATATATTGTGAAAAACTGGCTATCATTTTGCTTGGACTTTGAACCAAGAGGATCAAAACTCACAAAGAAAGTAATTGCAGGCAGCCCAATCATCAAATATGAAAGAAGATTTGGAAATTACAAGTTCCCATGAAAATTAGAAACTTCCTCTCTTCCTCTGGAGGTTGTTGTGTTCCCAAGCAATTGGGGTGAAGGTGTTGTTGCATAAGAGAGGAATCCAAACCTATGTCATATGTCCCCGATGTGAACAAGTGGAGGAAGACACCATCCATCTACTTCTCAGATGCTCGTTTACAAAGGCAGTATGGAGGTGCATTGCAAATTTGCAATCATATTGATGATTGGATAGCAACATGGTTTCAACCAATCTCTCCTCTCTTTGCCATTTGGCATGATATTGGTAGACTTTCTAGGCATGAAACCCAGGACATCTTCCAGCATTGCAAAACAAAAGCAAACCGCTTAGCTCAATCTATTGCAAATATTGTGTGTTGGTCAGGAGATAGTGCCTTCGGTAACTCCCCTTTCTCTCATTGGTTCCAGTCCTTCTGGGATGTCTGTTATCAGGACTTGTAGGCCCCCCTCCTTAACTTCTCATCTTTAATATGAACTTTTATCTCACTTTATCAAATAAAAACTTTAAAAAAATCAGACAGGATCAAGGTTAAAAGTATCATTATGTATCAGCGATATCGTTCCAGGACCCTTCTGATATGCCCTTACAGTGGGTGTATTTGGGGGTCTGACCGGTTCAAAGGATGAAAGGGTCCTAGACCGTCTCCCCTGAACCAGCTTTGAAAAATAAGTATCAAAACACCTGATACACCCCTACCAGTGCATCGGGCATATCGATATTTTGAACCATGGACAGGATATTTAAATTCACCAACAACCAATTCATTTTTCTTCTTATTACGAAACTGATTTTTTTTTATTTGAAAGAAAAAGCAGTAAAAGGAAGGGGAAAGAGGTAAAATCCCTAAAAAGGAGGTTTCCGTAAGTTATCAAGCTATTCTCTTATTCTGAATCTGACTGAAAAGAGAGGAAAACCCATAATGAAGTCCGGATCTCCTGCCCACAAAAACCTCTGCCCGTGTAGGAGGATGAGATGTAATGGGATGGAGTGCCAAACACAACCTTTATTCCAGTATGAACCTATGCAATCCATATCATGTTGGATATTGCACCTGCCACCCAAGTAATGACTTGGCACCAATTTACTCCTGGCCAGTTTGTCTAAATTGATTAAATCAGAATTAGTTTTGCCGATTTTAAATTTTCGTTTTAAAATCAAAATAATGCATATTATAGAAAAACACACCTGAAAGAACCAAACCGATGGTCTAACCGTCATTTCAACCACTTTAGGAGGTGTTCAGTGTTATCCAACATGAATAGTTTTTCTTTGTTGCCGGTTCCAAAACCAAATCAACATCATCAACTGCTTTGACGAAGGACCCTGGACCCCGAACACCAATACTACCTATAAAAATACTTGTTTATCAAGCAAACCGCTTGAAAGCCAACTTGGCATAATATGCTTTGATTACTCGTTAGACCAATCACCAGAGTGGAGAATAGTCTCTAACAAACACGAGCGCTGGTACAAGTGCTTGGTAAACCAACTTATCACCTAAAGATAGATTCCCGTTAAGCATCCCCAGAGCCAAAAGTTTTTAAAGCCCTAAAAAACTTTGACCCACAGTTTCCACACAATGTCACTGAGCCAATATACCTGCCTCGCCAAAAGTCAAAAGCCTAATAAAGGAAAATGAATATCGAAATAAAAGAAAGACGCTTCAAATTCTGAACAAGCACATGAAGTGCCCAACAAATCAAATCAACCCACAATTGTCAACAACAAAACAACAGAGCAAATGAGTTCAACAATCTATGTCCAACCCGTGGTACAAGTAGAACATTCAAGTTTTGATCCACAAAATGGTCGCTGAAAGTGCCTGCTAACAACATTAGGATAAACATAAAATATAGTAGTCTAGAGATAGCTAGTTTGTCCACCTCATCTAGCAGTAAAACATAACTCTTTTGACATTGTCCCTCAAAGCAGGAAGAGGCCTCACAGCAGCATTCGCGCCCGGAACTCGGGTGCTGCGTGCACCTCCACTTCCAGCTCCTGCACCGCGACCAGCTGCTCCACTCGTCAGTGACCCACTGTCCGAAGTCTCTGGTTCCATGTAGAAACGAGCTCGGAAAGCAGCTAGATGTGCATAATAGGCAGGAGGCACTGTGGCAATACAAGACACATTAATCAAAATAATTAATATATACATAGACTCACCAAAAAACACAAACTACTGACACAAATACCAAGGGACAAGGGCCCAAAAACACTATGAATTGCACACGCACACCATCAGATATCCCCCCGCACCCTTCTCTCCCTTCTTCCCCGTTGATGGATGGTAAGCTAAGGACGGAGGTAGCTAATAAAAGTAATCTTCTCGCGTCTATCAATCCCTATAACAACTACAGATATGGGAACCGTAACCCCGAATAGAAAACAAGGGTGGAGGACACTGCAAAAAGCCAAAAAGAAACTTGGGGAGAAAAACCAACCTATTGAGACGGAACGTGTGCACCTTGCGTATCTGCAAAAAGAATTAAAGTAAAGATTACGTCAATTACCACACATGGGATCTAAGATGGCTAATAAAACAAGTATAAATTGGGAACAACACAGATTTTAATTGACTAAAAATTGAATGTAAGTGAAGAGGGGAACCCCAGAAGTCACAGAAGCAAGGAAATAATTTCTTACGTGTAGCAGAGGTTGTTTGTAAGTGACTGGAGCCCATCAGCTGTGAACTTGTTTTCATCCCAGAGTACATGGTAATGAGCTGGTCTACTTGTGCCCTGTGGAGTATGTAACACCACATTCAACATCATCAATACCTAGATACATGGGAGAGAAAATAGCGAGCGCTCTCCAAAGAGTCGAAGAGGGTAAGGCTCTGTTACCTGGATACCAGCATGACTACATAGATAAAAATCAAATTCAGTGGGATGGCAAATCTTCGAGTCCACAACAGTCCCTGCAGAAATTCAGAGGGTTAACATAACATTCACAACCTTAACATGGATATCAAATATGCCAAACAAACATCTTACCAGGCAAAATGTTACCACTCCTATCAATAGAATGGCGATCATTATGATTATTTGCGAACAATCTTGTGTGATGGCGCTTTTGCACCACCACAAAAGTCACAGGAGGCTGATAATTTGGCTCAAGAGAAGCACACGCCTGATCATGAATATACATTATCCAAGCATGTATCAGTACAGAAATACAAGTAAAAACAAGAAGCAAGCCTTTCCCAAAATAACAACCTAAATGCAGAAAAGGGGTTTATTAATGATCAAAGCACTTAAGAATGCCCAAAAATAAAGGTGAGAACAGATAGAGCAACTTCATGCATATTTTTCACAAATGTTAAGAGGACAAAGTCATACAGACTGATCAATTTAGTGTTATGAATCATCAACATACTATAATATCCCGGTTACTATTAATTATTAATTTAGCTCTATGATCGGGTATCCTATGTGGTTCGTTGGTAGACAATTATGCAAGAATGGTTACCTTCCGGATTGCATCCAATTCATATAGCAAGACTTGATAAAATTGGCCTTCACTGACACCATCCCTGAAAATGGAGGATCCACATAAGTCTCTTATAGATTGCCTAGAAATGATAATGAGAGTTGTTAAAACATACCTGTAAAAGATGATTCGTTGAGGCTTTTGACCAGTTGCACGCCGGAAAGATATAAGAAGTTCCCTGAGTTTAACAGATCATATTAAAAATCCAACTACCTAAAGATGTAATTGAACCCAAGATTCATAGTGTTATTTAAAAATTTGAAAAACAATTCACAGAATATAAAAACAATATTCACAGAAAACATCAAATTTTAAAATGAAATGAAAACAAAAACAAAACGTTCAGGAAACAGGACATAAAGAACATACTTGATCATACCACCAGTCACTGTTCCTCGAACAGGGTCTTGCCATACTTTATACAGATCTTGAATAAGCTCCTGTCTATGGGCTTGAGCACAAACCAATCCAGCATATTTTGTCACTTCAGGCCAATCTTGTGACGCAACAACCTTGTGTGATGTTAAAAAATATATATATTCAATAAATAATAAAAGAAATCAAGTGCATTAGAAGCAACACTAAGAAAGGCAATAACTACACTCTCAATAACATTTCTAAGTAGTACTTGAAGAGTAAAAGATAGGAAAACAAATTAAGCTTACAGCTGCAATAGATGGACTTGAATCTTCCCCGGGATGGGGATGTGTCACATCTGCACCAAAGATGATGGTTGGCCGGTCACTGACTAAAGGAATTCGCCTGGACAGTGCATCAACAAGCACCGTATTTCTTCCACCAACTTTCACATTAACCTTCAAGGCCACGTTTGCCAGATATTGCTTACTCATCCTAAATACATGTTTAGTCAAGCAACACTGGGAAACAATGCCAAGATCAGTCTCACATATGCGCTTCAAATCACCTGGCAAATGCAGCAAATAATAAGCCCTTAAGATAACAATTCAAAAGATAGAATCCAATGGAAGTTCGTGTACAAGATCCATACCATATAAAGAACCATTATTATCTGGCAAAATAACTATAAGAAGGTCAAGTTCTTTCCCCTGTGGTTGGAGCTTGGCCATTGCATCATGGTATCGTGTCTTTAAAGCTCTCTCAACCTGATCAGGGCGTGCACTGTAGGGTGGAAGTATTGGTTCAGGATTGAAGGCCTGCAAGATATTCAATTATGAGAAAAGGATCAACATCAAATGCCTTTATCTCATACAACTAAAACTAACATGCATGAAGTTAGTACATGCCATACCATGCCAGAGACGTGGCACATCTGAGCAAGTTCATGACAAAATCCTCGAGCAACACTTTCTTGCACATTCCTGGAAAAGTTTATGCATATCCAGTTGTTGACTGTTCCACCATTAACCATTTTCTGTAATAAAAGAAAGATGATATAAGAAATTATACAGCAACACCTACACATAGCAGACAAATTAGAAATGTAAACGAAAAATGAATAAATGTCAACCTTCTGATATATAAATCAAATCCAAACAATTACAGCATGAATTTAAATTTACATGAGGAAAAGTTTGGAAATGAAAATAAGTAAAAAAATAAATAAATGTTTTCCCCCTGAAGTATACCCATGCAAAGCTGAATAAAACAATGTAAAAGTGATGCACCATGTAAAAATCAACATTAATCACCCAGATTCACTAGAATCCTTTCTGTTATTAAATTCCATTCAGTGTCGTATCCATTGTTGAACTATTCACCCCATGTCCTTTATGGCTTGCCCCTAGCTCTTCAAGCCCTACCAAACTTGTAAGTTGTAACAAATCACTTCGCAATGCTGCTTGTAGTAGTTTCAAAGCATCAAGGACCAAAAATGCCACTGCTCCCTAAAAATTTGGAGCCAGTTTGCTTCACATCACCATTTTTTCTAAACTCGCCAATACATGTTAAAAGATGCTGTAAAGAAACAAATGGTGGAAAAAATTGCAAAGCAAGTACCCTTCATAAATAACTGATCCAACTCCCCTTGAGTTAAATGTATGCTCATCCAAGCATCAGAATAGGTGGTTAAGAATTCTCCTACAGGTATATTAAGCCAAGAGTGGTCTTCTTCTAATCCTTTCTACCTCACAAAGGACTAGTAGGCAACCCCACCCTTTGGGTTTCCACATATTTGCAATTATTGGCAAGAGTCATATTTACAAACAAGTATGCCTTTGCTGATTTAATTCCTAAGCCATGTCTGTTCTAGAGAATATCACATTGCCAGCCTCATAAGCACAGGGAACATGTAAGTGCTACTTCAAGCAATTTATTAAGCATCTACATGGATAGGCTTTATTAAAAGCAGATAAGAAAATTACTGAATGGCAAAAATAGATAATGGACATTTTCCCTGAAAAGGAAACTTAGGCATCTTTGCAGCACATGAAAATGAATTCATAGACAAAACTCAAACTGCATCACTGATGCCACACACAAACCACAAGCACAAATTCAAAATGTACAAACCACAACTCACATTCATTTCCATGCCCAAGTATCCTCCAGCAAATTAATTTAAAACTTCAACTGATTCATAATGGACCTTGCTTACAAGGACAACCAATGTTCACAGAAAAAAAAAAATTATAAGCCTGTTCAAGGAGGCAAGGGAAGTCTGCCACCCCATATTCTTCCAAAAATACCAGCACATGAAAACTCCAAGGGTAGGGTGCTTACAGCTTAGTTCAATTTTGATGGTCCCCTCCCAATCAAATCCATCGCTCTCAAGGCTCAGGCTTTAATTCACACCTACCTCTTTGAATTACAAGCTCACCAATTTCAGTATTCACTAAAATTCAACCATAGTCCCAGCGAAACCTTGTTATCAAAAATAAAAAAGAAAAAGAAACATAGCCACACTATGCAACAAAACTTCAAGTACCGCCTTGCCGTACTGTAAAACAATTGTTCAAATAAACCAATTATGAAAGTCCCAACCCCCAAAATCTTTTCAGAGACTAACCCACGACACAATTGTACATTGCCAGAACACAATGATTTTCATTCTTAAATAGATGATACCTTATTCATCATGTTCCATTGACCAACTTGGGGAAGGCAATCTTTTTCTCTTCCTGTATCGTGATACTTGAGCTGTACAAGAAACAAGAAAGAGAGTCATTAGAAAACTTCCATTCCAACACTAGATTTGGGCAAACCATATAAATAAGTAGAAGGGAGAACAGCCAGACACCTACCCAAGGTGCAGGCAAAATCCGTGCTTCAACTGAAGCAAGCCTCTCACTGATTTTAATGCCAAATTCTTTTGCATAAGGGTCCTCATGGTAAGCATTGTGATGAACAGTCTTAACAAGAAAAGGACAAAATAAGACCAAAACATCAGTAACATGAAATTTCAAAAACCAAATTCATCATTATTAAACACATTACATGCATTTGGTTGGGAAAACAACTAAGTTATGACTGGTTGATATGAACACTTGCACAATATATCACATTGTTCAAATCCCATTAATAACTTCTACACTAATATAACAATTGGGCAGTAGAAAATACTAGCTCATGTTAGTATATACGTAATTTCAGAACCCCATTCATAATCAGAAAAATTGATTACTTCAAATAAAAAGATACCAGTAGAAAATACTATTCCATATTTTCAGAAAATTAAAACACACAACAAACACAGATGGTGACTGAGCATATGCAGTGACAAATGAACAAACATTCAAGACTTGCAGAAAGACACCTGCATTATATCATGCTCCCGCTCCTGAGGCCGCTGACAAGTGACCTTGAGGAGAGCGGTAATCTGCCTCTCATTCAGTCTCTTGGAGTACCTCTGGCCCTCCACAATCTTACAGACCTGCATGCATACAAATAAATGAAATAAAAAAATATTCTTTGACACATGGAGTAAATAACCCAGTTTAAAAAAGTATTCACCTCCATAGGCAAGTAGTTTGGTCTCTGCTGATTTCCAACTTGTAGGCACGGCCAGTTAGTGTGCTGAATGACAAAGCCATAGGTCTCCTGGAAATACTGAACAACAGATTTCATTGTCCCCCTGTCATCGACTGGGAAACTGTGGAGAACCATAACAAAACAATAAACCACATTATGAGTTGATATATACATCCAACATCATTTTCAAAATGCAGTTCGGCAATTTAAATTAATTAGAAAGGTTATCCTTACGTCAGCTCTCGTGTTGCCTGGGAAGTCAAACCAGAAATTCGGTATTTTCTACGCATATTCCCCCTGTGAGTAACCTCAACTTTCACACCCCTAAGAGCTTTCTTGATCTGTCATTACCCAATAATGCATAGAAAGAAAATGAATGCTATCAAAAGGAAAGCAACAATGGAATATTATTCAACAGATCACTGAAAACATCCAGTTCAGAAGTTAAAAAATATCAAAATTTTGAAAGACAAATAAGAAGAAACCTAGGGGGATAAAGATATGCAGAAAGGCAAAAAATGATATTAACATAAAAACTATAAAGAAAAAAACGAAATTTTAAGTCATATAAAAGTAGTTGACATGTGCTATCACGTGGTTACTTGTCAAAAGACCCCAAGAGTGGCAAGAACAGACCTTTACACGATCAGCGTCAGACAAGGTTCTAGATAAAACCTCCCTGTTCAAGAGCTGAGTGACAAATTCAATGACTGGAAGTGGCTCAATGAAGGCAGTGGAAGACATATCTGCAATGAAGTCACCATTAGCAACGGGAAACACAGGGATCTGGATCATAATTAGAACATTCAATTTTACTGAAAATCTTGACAGTTTTGACTGTTTCCAGGTCATCAAACAGTCAAGATTTTAAAAACTGCTTTCTGTGAATAAGCAATCAAGTGGTATTTTAAGGCCCTTAGTTACAGAATGACACATAGCAGTGAATAGTGAATATTTTAGCATACTCTTTATCCTCTAAATGAGAAGCACATACTAGATTAGCATTCAGACAATCAAGATATCATCAAATATCCTCTAAGAGAGTGCAAGAAAAGAAGAGAAACTGGGAATTGGTCTTCCAGAATTCTCCACTGTATTTATACAAGATACCATATTGAAATTAGAGAAGTGTAGGCAATTGAAGACAACATATGCATGGATATTTATAGAATACACTATAATTGTAGATTAACAAGAAACTTGTAGCTGTTGAAAATAAACATCATACCAATATTCAAAGAGAGACCCATCTGAGTTGGTCGAATACTCTGGTAGAAACCACGCCAACTTTCCAACCCCTCACCAAGGGGCTGCCTTCTCCCCAAATCAGGGGAATAAAAGGATCTTCCAACGGGGGAGTACCTACAAGCAGACATTTACCAAACAAAATTTACAGATTAGCAAACTAGAAAAAGGTAAAACAGTAAGGAGAACACAGAAAATGTAGAAAGTACCTAGTGGTGGGCAGTTCACGTAAAACAATGTCTAGGACCTGAAGAGCTTCTTGAGGGGCATCCGCCTGCTTTCCTTGTAAAAACAATCCCAAATGGTGTAGATCAGCACGTGCAGCCAACTTTATTACAACTCTGAATTGCCTTTCTCTTCTGCGTCAAACAACTTAATGATCAGAAGTGGAAGGGAGAAGAAGGCAATAGAGATGAAGAATTCATCAGAAAATACCTGGGAGCACCAGTGCCATCATCCTCATCCACCAGAGTAATTGAGAACTCTTTTGAAGTAAAAGGAAGTGGTCCTGCAGTATAAAGACTCTTGCGACCATCATAAGCAGGAAGTCTCTTTCCAAGATGAGAATCCCTATACAACTTCACCAGCTGCTCCATCACAGCTCGATTCACACCCCTTGAAGTAACTTCAGGCGTAATTGAGACCTAAGTATTGAAACAGAGGCAATATCCATAACTAGTTAACACTGTAGAAAATGAAAAGCATATAGTTGGGACAAGGCATGTATGATAATAATGATTACAACAAAATTTAACACTCACATCATATTGATGCAGGTCTTTGTCAGGTAGCTCAGCAAAGAAATGGTTTGCTTTGACAATGCATCTGATCCCAGTGCTACCCTTGCCAGGACGAGGAGGGAACCTCATAGATTTGCTTGATGGAGCCACAGGTTGAATGGCTTGAGAAGCTCCTTCCTGCTGAATTGCAAGTTGGTGGAACTGTTGTGACAGCTCTGACGAACTTGTTTCAGGTGCCCCAGAAGATGAACCCATTTGGGAGGACTCCACTGGCCCGAAAGAAGGAGCAGGCTGAGGGCTTACCATTGCTTGATATGGCGCCTGGGTTGCTTGGTGCAGCTCGGGAACTGGTGGCCTGGAACCACCAGAAGAAGGGCCTCCACCACGACTGCCAGCCACATTGCCACCTCCCCGGCGCCTCCCAGAAGCTTCTGGCATGGCACCAGCAGCCTGCTGTGGTGGCACTCCTCTTGGCTGACCTCCACGACCCTGATATTCAGGATGGCCACCATATTGTGGAGGTGCCATCCCACCTCGTGGCTGAGGTCCACGTCCTTGGGAATATCCTCCACCATATCCACCTCGCCCCCCCTGCTGAAATTGTGGAGCCCAACCCCTTCCTCCACCAGCTCCCTGTTGAGTTGGTGCTCTTTCAACTGAGCGCTGGGCACCACGGCCACCACCAGCACTGGATTCTTGAGTCTCTGACCTCTCACCACTTCCACCGGGAAGTTCAGTTCTCCTCTTCCGAACCATGATGACAACTGCCGAGTAACAACATGAAGAATCAGATTAACATTTTGAGCAAATATAGGTTAACAAACGCTGATCAGAATCAAAATACAATTAATAACACACAAAGAGGCGAAAAAAACACTAAACTAGAAAAAAAAATCAGCATTGCACACCCAAGTCAGTGTCCATTGACTACTAGCATAGATTATGTCTAATAGCGAGGAAAACCAAAGATCAAAAATCTGTCATAGCTGATAAAACCAAGCACATGCCAAAGTTAAATAATGCCAATTGATGATGATCTGAAACATCAGAAATGACAAATAGAATACTTAACCAAAAGCTATGCATTAGAAAAAGAAAACCTTAAAATCTCTAAATGCACAAGTAAAAGGGAAAATACGAAAGGCTCTAATAAGAGAAAATACTAACTTATCAAACAGAAAGAGACAATAAAGACACGCATCACAGACCCTTAGAAAATCCATACAAACAAAGAATAACAAATAACAAATCAACCATCAGATACTAAAGAAGAACTAATATGATCACAAGCAACAGAAAAGAAATAGCACAGAACAAGCAAATAGAAGTAATGTCAATAAAAGTTGGATCAAGACATCAGCGAGACACAATCATGCAACACTAAATAAAAAAAAAAGCATTTCTTCCGCATTAACATCAAAGAAAACCTAACCCTAAGTTACAATCTCACAGCAGAACTGCAGAAAGAATAAATACGAAAAAAACATACAGAATAAACTAAGGGATCAGCATCATCGTCAGACTCCCAGTCAATACAAACTCAAAACTCAAATGCAAATCCAAACCAAAGAAATATGACCAAAAATGCTTTATAACCAAAGCCCTCGATGAACTCGAAAGGATCTTCACACATCAAACCTCAAATCCAAAACCCTATACATCTAACTCTGAAAAACCAAGACCACCACCGTAAGCCCTAGCCGATAAATGCATTACCGGGAACCATTGATCCGTGGCCAATATCTTCCCAAAGCTACAAACCGATGACTCGGAACCAGAGAAGAAAAACAGACCAAAACCAAAGAAGAAAAGCTCGGATGAGAACCAAACCAGGAAAAAAAACCTCAAAGAAAAACAAAACCAAAACAACAAAAAATCCCAGGACCTCGGCAGGTGACAGTCTCCGAGATTCGATCATAGATCAACAGAGACCAGTAGATCAAAATGCCACAGAACAAACATATACCAAACCAGCCCGCAGAAATCTACTTCCGGGCACAAAATAAATCACAAAATGACCAAACTAGAGCCAAATACCGCTATCATTACCTGAAAACCGCCCTGGAAATACCGCTTTTCGTCCACTGAAAGGTCGTAGTGAGAGAGTGGTTTAGGGAGATATAGATTAGAGAGAGTAAAAAGGAGAAACCCCTTCTCCGTAGAATCCCTACTTGAACCACCGTGCCCCCTATTTAAAGTAGCTGAGTGTCCAGAAACGACAAGTCCCACTCTCTACTTTCTCTCTCTACTCGTCTTTCTCTCTCCTTCTTTGGCTTCTGATCTAATCGGATGCTGGTGTGGTAAGTTCAGCCTCCTTGAGGACCTTGACCAGCTATATGAGTGACGTGGAATGCTGACATGGAAAAATAACCACGTGGCAAGTTGAGAAAGACAGTTCCCGCCATTTTATGGAGAGCAACGAGGCAGGACTCGCATGATTGGGGGAGAACGCACGACTCGTCTCGATTGGAGAAAGATAAAGCCTTAACCCTTCTCTCTTCCCCGAGCCCAGATTCCTATTTCCACTAATAATTACGTCGATTAATTAAACATGATTATGATTATTATTGATTAAATTGGATTTTTATTTAATAATTTTTCCACTGTGAAAAAGAGTGGAGCAAGAGTTTTGTAGAAGTTTCCATTTCACGTGATATGTAATGCTCAAATTACTAAACTACCCTCCACCTTTCAATGAAGAAAAGTCAATGTTAAGAGTTTGGGGGATTACCTTGCATTATCTCTTGCCCATATTTTACATTTTTACCTTTGCCCATATGGGCCCACCTAGAAGGCCCCTTGGATTTAATATTGAAAGTGTCAGCGTGGCCCACCTAGGAAGTTAAAATGTCTAGGCGGATGCATCGGACGGTTCAAATCAAAAGGTAGATTCATTATTGTGGGGCCTACTCCAAGCTTGGTTGGGGTGGGGGGTAATGTGGTGAAGCATGTACAAGGAAATGGTATCGGGCATCGAGAAATGGGCTCTGTTGGAATGGGCCCGAGTTAGTGTTTTCTGCCAAGAGGGCCCACTGATGGTGAGTACAGAGGAGTTTTGATGGTGACCCATTGGCTTGGAGGATTTTGATAAGGACGAAATAACAGCATGGTTTGGGAAGCTTTTAAGCAAACAGCTCAATGTTCAGAGGCTCTGGATCAAAGAAGACATGTTTAAGGGTACAAATTGCCCGGGCTCAACCAGAATCCGACTGACCAGACCCGACATCCAGTTGCTGGTCATTTCAGACTTCATGTTGGGCTTCGGGTTGGAGTCTTGAGCAATTCAACTAGTCCCTTAGACAATGGTTGGTTCTAGCTTTTCCATCGTTGGATCTAGATTTTTGTTATATCTATACACCATTTTAGTTCAGTGTTTGTAAGATGGGCCATTCGGCCCAGACCGGATGGTCGGACCCTGAAAATAGAGAAGAGAGAACTGGTGGGCTTTCCGGGTCCCGGTTAAATGATGGGTTGATGGTTTCACATGTTTTTACAGGATGAACGGATTATAACTGTCTGGTTAACCGGTAAAACCAGAGCTGTGGTCCTGTGGACCGTGGAGCATTCGGGTTTTCAGTCCACTCGTTCCAGCATTGTTTTAGGTGGTTTAAGAACAGTAGTAATTAAGGTTTGTTAATTTATGGGGGGTTTTGGAATTTGGGAATGAAATCATTCCATTTTAAATTGTAATTAAGGTTTGTTTATTTAGTACACTCGTTTCAGCAATGTTTCATTTAGTTATGGGAAATTGTCAAAAACTTACCATGAGTTTTCAGCATTTCTCTTAAATTCATCACAACTTTTCAAAATGTCTAAAACTCACCATGTCACTAACTTGACATTAAAGAGGCTAACGGTTGTTAATATATTACCATTTCAACCTTCATAGAAAAATATAAACATATAAACATATAAAAATATACATATATTTTAATATTTAGATATGAAAAAAAGGAAAAGTTCAAATAATATTTTCAAATATAAAATACATAAAACACAAAAATATAAAAATTTATAAAAATTGCACACAAAATAAAAAATTAATTTAGAATTATAGAAACTATAGAAATTGAAAAACAAAATCAGAAAATAAAAATTGTAGAAAAAAACACCAAAAATTATAGAAAAACACAGAAATTGCAAATAAATAACAAAAAATATAGAAAATTTTATAGGTTGTAGATAGAAAAATAGAAAAATGTAAAAAAAAAAACAGAAATTATAACAAAACACTAAAATGTAAAAAAAAAGAAAAGAATATTGAAAAATGAAAAAGACCCTTTTCCTCTAACTCAACATTCAAGGGTGATTTGGTCATAAAAATTGTTATTTATGCTAACGTGGACACCTTTGTTAAGAACATTAATGGTACACTAACAAAAGGTGAGTTTTGGAAAATGAAAACTTACTCACATGGTGAGTTTTAGACATTTTGAAAAGTTGTGGTGAATTTAAGAGAAATGATGAAAACTCATCGTGAGTTTTAGACAATTTCTAGTTATTAATAGCTTTAAATCATGATCCGTTTGTTTGCAAGCGTAATTTTGCATTAGGACAAATGAGTTGAACTGTAGAATTAGAAATTTGAGGAACGAGCTTTATAACATTTCTAATTAAATGGTGATCATTTAAGTCCAATTCAAACATTTTTTTTTAGGTTATGTCTAGTGTATTCAATTACAATTCAAGTGCAATTAGTGAGAATTGCTAATTTCCTATGCTCTAAATAAATCTGTATTATTTTTTGTACCCAATTGCTATTTTTTTTTAATTTTTAAAATTTTATGATTTGTAATTATTTTTAGGTAAAAATATTTTTTGATTTGTAATTATTTCCGAACAAGTTAGTTGAGGGCAAAGAAGTTAATGAGAAATATGAGAAATAATTAATGAGATGAGATGAAAGTCTTAAAAGCTTATTGGCCACTCGAGTTATTTTGTTCAATTTTAAAATGAGAAAAAAAATAATCAAGAAGCGGGAAAGTGCCAGCTTAGCACATTCCATTTTAAATTGTAATTAAGGTTTGCTTATTTAGTCCACTCTTCATTTAGTTATTAATGGCTTTAAATCATGATCCATTTGTTTGCAAGCATAATTTTGAGTTAAGACAAATGAGTGGAACTGTAGAATTAGAAAATTTGAGTAAGGAGCTTTATAACATTTCTAATTAAATGATGGTCATTTAAGTCCAATTCAAGCATTTTTTGGGTTATCTCTAGTGTATTCAATTACAATTCAAGTGAACTTTAGTGAGAGTGGCTAATTTCTTATGCTCTAAATAAATCTGTATTATTTTTTGTATCCAAATGCTATTTTTTTTATTTTTTAAAATTTTATGATTTGTAATTATTTTTAGGTAAAAATATTTAATTATTTTCGAACAAGTTGGTTAAGGGCCATGAAGTTAATGAGAAAGATGAGAAAAGACTTAATAAGAGGAGATAAAAGTCTTAAAAGCTTATTGGCCACTTGAGTTATTTTGTTCAATTTTAAAACAAGAAAAAAATAAAAAACTGAAAAAAAAAAGATAATTATTTTTCAAAAACAACTATAAAAAGATAAATGCTTCTCAAAATTAATCAGAAAGTGGAAAAATGTCAGCTTAGCACATTCCATTTTAATATATAGATATAAACGATACCATTTGGGAGGGCTTTTGCATTGGAGGCAAGGTGCAATGATTCAACAATATTTGTTGAGCACTCATTTTCAAGAGAATCTACCTAGAGTATCTTCCTATTCCAGTTATGTTTCTAGTGTCCAAAACGCATTGATTGGCCTTTCAGATTGTCACAAAACATAGCTTTCTAATGTTCCCATGTGCGGCCTATGTCAAAACGTTAGAATCTACGTTTCGGAAGCTCTCCCAAATGGGCATTATATTTGCAACAAAACAGATAAAAACTTAAAACAAAAACAAATAAAAAAATTGCATTCAACTCATTTGCACTCTCAAACTTTTGTACCAATGGCTCAGTGCGGAGGGAGTATAAATGCAAATATATAGAGTGCAAAACCTTATATTTTGTATGTATTTGTATTGTACATATTTGCATTTGTACTCTTTTCAAACTGAGAAAATGCAAATGAAATTGCATTACAAATAAAGTAGGTCTAATGAGTGTATTTGGTGTTTTTTTAGGGGGAGAGGGGAAAATTATGTAAACAAGCAATTACATTAGTGTTAGTTACAATAATAAAAAAAAATAAAACTTAAACCATTTTATTCACTAAAATCCTATACATTGGCCCCCTTTAAATTGATTACAACCTTCATTTAAATGAGATCATTTTAGATAAAGCAATGTCAATAATTGTAACGAAAAAATTTTGTATTTGAAATTAATAAAACTAATTAACTTCATCTTGCTATATAAACATTAATTCGATCGTTAGAGTTTTACGAAAACTATTGATATGGGAATATGGGAGAACATAATACGAAAGCAATGTCAATGTCATTAATTCATCTTGCTATAACTTCATCTTGCTATATAACTTCATCTTGCTAGACACATATGAGAGAACATAACATGAAATTTTAAAAGAATATAAATGAAGAAACTAAAATTAAATTTAGTACATAATAAAACAATACGTAATATTGTAAAAAATGAAAGTGAAGCAATTATTTCCCTTTCTTTTTCCTAATTTCATGTTATTTATTTTCCAAACTCCATTTAATTTCTCTATAAATGAATTAACCAAAAAATAAAGAAAAAATCGCCAAACTTGTTAAAGATAACATAATTTGTCTAGGGGGTTGTGTTAAGCACACACCAAAAATTTATTAATTGGTAGGTTGTCTATGTATAACTAACCAAATTATGTGACGTATTTCTTTAAAAACATAAAAAATAATGTACATATATAAATACATTTATCAAAGAAAAATAAAAGGTGTTTTCTTTAATTCAACATTCATTAGTCAAATTGGATTCAAATTCCACTAAGTCCAATTCAGTTATAACCATATTTGTATAAAAAAAATGTAAAGAGAATGAAAGAATATGAGGATTATAAATTATTAAATACACCACATATTGCATGGACCAACATTGGCTAATAGGCCACAAGATAACCCATTGTTCATAAGTCACAACATGGGCTCATTGTTTAAAGATAAAAAGGAAATAAAAGAAACAAATAATTTCAGTGCACCAACACCTAGTCATGGCTCCAACAA